TCACAGTAGAACAAAACTACATGATTAATTAATCCCTAACTGACTACTAAACAAACTGTCTCTCACAAACACAGAGGATTACCCTCTCAAACTTTAGAAATACTAACTACAGGGGCCAGCGCTATGGCACAGCAGTTAACGCCCTGGCCTGAAGCGCCGGCATCCCATATGGGCGCCGCTTCAAGACCCAGCTGCTCCACTTCCGATCCAGCTCTCTGCTATGGCCTGGGAAAGCAGTAGAAGATGGCCTAAGTCCTTGGGCCCCTGCACCCACATGGCAAACCTGGAAGAAGCTCCTGGCTCCTGGCTTCAGATTGGTACAGCTGCAGCCGTTGCAGCCAATTGGAGAGTGAACCAGCGGATGGAAGACCAATCTCTCTCTCTCTCTCTCTCTCTCTCTCTCTCTCTCTCTCTCTCTCTGCCTCTCCTCTCTCTGTGTAACTCTTTCAAATAAATAAATACATTTTTTAAAAAATACTAACTACAATAGAACACTTTACAAATGTCATATTTCATAAATGTTAGAACAGAGAAAATTTGTCTGTAAAGGGCCAGAAAGTAATTCTTTCATGTTTTGTGGGCCTTCTGGTCTCTGTTAAAACCAGTATACTCTGCCATTGCAGCACAAAAATAGCCATAGGTAATATGGAAACAAATAGGTATGATTGTGTGCTGACAAAACTTTATTTAAACCCTGACATTCGAATTGCATGTCATTTTTTAAAGAGATGCATTTATTTATTTGAAAGAGAGGGGGAAGTGATAGAGACAGAGACACAGAGAGATAATCCATCTGCTGGTTCACTCCCCAAATGAGTACAATAGCCAGATCTGGACAAGGCCAAAGCCAGGGGCCAGCAACTCCATCCTGATCTCCTACATGGCAGCAGGGACCCAAGTACGTGGATCATCTTCTGCTGTCTTTCCAGATAACATTAGCAGGATTGTGAATTGGGAGCAGAGCAGCTGGTACTTGAACCAGCACTCCAACATGGGATGCTGGCATTGGAAGTGGTGGCTTAACTGCTTTCATGAGATATTTTTCTTTATTTTTTTCTTCAAAATCTTTTTTTTTTTTAAGTTCATGGGCTATACAAAAATAGTGCTCAGGACAGATCTGGCCTGTGAGCTTTGTTTGTAAGACTCTGCTCTAAACTGGTGGAAGAGAAGAAGCATCAAAGGCCATGTAGCTGAATGGTTTGGGCCCCATGCTCTGGTGTCAGGCAAATATGACTATGAATTCTGGCTCTAGTACTTGCTTTCTGCCTGACCTCAAAGAAGTTACACAACTCGTTTACACCTCAGTATCCTCATCTGAAACAATGAGGATGGAGAGAACGATGGCAAACAATTGTTGTGGAAAATTAAGTGAAATAAAATGTGTATATTTAGTACGTATGAGGTCAAAAGGAGTGTAGTTACTACTATAATAAATGACTTGAGATGTGCCACAAAGCTTCATGTTCCCCAAATCTATCTGTATCTTCATGCTGGAATTTATAGTGGGATATTTATTGAAACAGTGTACAACAGGCCAAATATTGGCATCATCGCTGGGTCCTTCTTCATTTGGCCCTCTTACTCAATTCAGAAGCAAATCATCTCTTCTCCAAACTCAAAACATAGCCAGAATCTATTTGAGCACTTCTCGACAGCTGCCCCCGAGCCATGTCATCATCACCTCTCAACTACTATTTGTGATTCCACCATTACCCCTGTACCATGCTTTTGAAACATAATTCAGATTGCTTCATTGTTCAGAAATCCCCTCATCTTCCACCCAGAGGAAAATCCCAAGCCCTGACCTTAAAAGCCTGCTGATCTCCTATGTTATTTTCCTTGCTCCCTTGACCCTAGTGTCACTCCTGCACCCACTTCCCACTCAGTATTTTTTGGTATGTCTTCCTGGAATGTTCTTTCCCTAGATAATCAAGTGGCTCCAATTTTACTACTTCCTTCAAGTCTCTGCTTAAATATATCTTATTAGAAAAGCATTTCCTGACTCTCCTTAACTCTCTTATTTTACTGGGTGGTTGCATCACCACCTCCCACTCTATTTCACATTAGGTATTGACCAAAAGCCTCTCCTATTAAGAATGTAAGCTCCTGAGAGCTCAGCTTGTTTATAGTTCCATCCTCAGTGTCTAGAACCAGTGCTTGGCACTGAGTTATCTCAAATGTGTTGAGTGACTTACTAAATGAACTCTTGCTGCTCTAAGATTGAAATATGAGCCCTCTGTAAGTATTATCCCTGTCTTTATTGGGTTATATATTTGTGTATAAATCACAGCATTTTAAAAACACAGCAGTAAATGTCTTCATTGACCAGGAGTCTGGAGGTAGGTGTTCAGGGAAATGGTCTACAAGATTGTTTTGGAAACTCCGCATCCTCTACACTGTTCTCATCATCCCCAGAGCACACTGCCCGGACCTGGACTGTCCAAGGTGGCTCTCCATTATCTGCATGTTCTCAGCAGCCTGAGGGAAAACGGCACAGGAGGCCACCTATAGACTCCATTTAAGGACACATTCTGTAAACTACAAACATCCCACTCACTTGTTGTTAAACAATCACATGAATATCCCCAGCTGTGAGAAGGGAAAGGATACATGGATTTTCCTCTGGGTGGCAATTTGCTGAGTTAAAAATTAGTGACTCTCTTTCTATAAGGGAGATGGGGCAAATAAATATGGGGGTGGTTAGTTTTTATTACAGTTCCCTGTGATTTTTTTTTCTTCCCCTCATTCCAAAAATGTAGTGAAAGCTAGGCAGCCCTCACTGAAGTCTGCTTCTTGACCCAAGTGTGACAAAGACCCCCTGGCAATCAGCATTGCTTTTTGTGTGGGAAGTATCCTCACATGTTCACTCAAGAGATGGATTTGGACTCAGGAGTTGCAGTGAAAGCAAGACGTCATTATCATGTCTTGCAGGGCTTCATTGTCGGTGTCTGATGAGCAGGCACACCAAAAGCAGTTACTGCAAGCAATTTATGTCCTAGTATGCAGGTCCCTCCCCTGGTTCCTCATTGGCTGAGTACTGTGGGGTGCACAACCTTCCTGGAAGTCTCCTAAGTTACAGAATTACCTTCCTCCTTGCTTCTCTGTACTTCAATTTCTTCTCTTGAGTTGGCTGCTCCATAACATCCTATTTGCCTAGGGAGTTTTGCTACATGTGCAAGTCACCCTAACTGTTGTGTGTTGAAAATGGACCTCCAGACATTTACTTATACTTTGCTAGAGCAAGAGGCTAGGAAACTGGCTTTTAGTTGAATGAAGTTTATTAACTGGATTGATACTTCCTTTTACTCGGATCCACATTCCAAGAAAATGGAAATGTCCTCTGAATTCCTTGATATCATCTTCTCTGGTTTCCACAGCTCAGTACCTGAGATGGGCTGGAAATAGACATTAAGGGCCATCTTCACGGGTCATGACCTATGCAGTCACTCAGGGCTCCAACTGGGTTAATGCATTGTTATCTTAAATACACTATGCTTATTAAATTCTTAGTATCTTTAAATATGTGCTTTGTAAGTGAAGTCCAGAAGAACAATGCAGCACACACCTGAACAGAGGCAGTACACATGTTAAATCCATGGAGTTCCTTGCTGCTCTGTTGCCTCTTGTGCTCAGGTGCCCATGAGCACAGAATTCCAGTGAATACTTGAAGGATGAGAGTTCAAAGAAAACTCATACAAGTTAAGCATCTCATATGTCTTTATTGAGTAGATTAGGCATTGACAAGAAACCAAATTTCCAATTGAACCGCAACAAGAAAGTGGTGGTATTTTTACAAATGACCAACTAACCCTCCTATATGCTTTTTTTTTAAGATTTATTTTATTTATTTGAAAGGCAGAGTTACAGAAAGGCAGAGGCAAAGAGAGAGAGAGAGGTCTTCCATCCACTTGTTCACTCCCCAATTGGCTGCAACAGCAGGAGCTGTGCCAATCCAAAGCCAGGAGCCAGGAGCTCCCTCTGGGTCTGGGTCTCTCATGTGGGTGCAGGGGCCTAAGGACTCGGGCATCTTCTACTGCTTTCCCAGGCCATAGCAGAGAGCTGGATCAGAAGTGGAGCAGCCAGGACTCAACCTGGTGCCCATATGGGATGCTGGCACTGCAGGCAGTGGCTTTACTACTACACCTCAGTGCCGGCTCCAGTATATGCTTTCTTATTTAGTTAATTTTTCTCTTGCTAGGAGGTAGGTGAGAGAGGAACTAGAGTACGATAAGGAAGAACTCCACAAACATTAAAAAGAAAAAAATCTTGACAAAACAGAATGAAAAAAAAAAAAAAGAAAATTAATTAAAAGCTGCTAGAGACATAGTTGAAACAGGGACAGTCCTGTGGAAAGCCATTCTTCTCTGTCGTACACACAAATAGTGCCTTAGCCTGAAAGGAAAGAAACCCTACATTTTGTCCCCTCCCTTCCTCCTTTGATGGCCAAGAGAAAAGTTCCTGGTGTGGCTGGTGAATAGAAAGTGGTCACCAAATTCTGTAGTAAAGACTTTTGCTACCTGGATTAGAGGCATAATCAGGTGTGCCTCTCCCATAGCACCCTACTGCAACTCTGAGGATACGTACAAGTACAGCGCAACTGATCAGAAGGAATTAATCGGGTGCAGTTCTTGAAACACCGTCATAGATATAAGCACGAAGAACAACACTGTCAAATCCACCAATTGTTAGTGGAACCAGGTCTGGGAACTCCCAATTTAGGCAATAAAATTATGGCAGAATACTGAAATATGGAAGCTCAGCTACAAATGAGATAGGACCATCAATCTCTTTGTTAAATGAGAAATCTAATAGAGGTGGAGTGGGGTGTTTGGGCTAGTGGTTAAGACAGCTGCGTCCAATCTTGGAGTGCCTAGGTTTGATTCCATGCTCCAGCTCTTGATTCCAGCTTCCTGATAATGCAGAACCTGGGAGGGAGATGGCCCAAATGATTGGGTTCCTGCTACTCCTGTGGGAAACCAAGATTGAGTTCCTGTGCCAGTCCTAGCCATTGGTGGTATTTTGGGAGACAGGAATGCTCTCTCTCTCTCTGCCTCTCAAATAAACTTTCTAAAAAAATTTTTTAAATGAATAGGCATTTATCCTTTTTATCATGTAGATGAGAGAAGGAAAAATACTAGTAGTCTACAAATTTGACAGAACAATGTTACAAATATACGATATAGAAAGAGAGAAATATCAAAATTGACATCAAAGGAGCATCAGATTATTGAATAAGGCAGGTCATCAGAATTACCAGGCTCTGTGGAGATTACTTTTAAGGGTATGACAATGATTTGCAGAATCTTTGTTTGTATTTCCTTCCAAGGATACATGTGTGAGGATGAAGAGCAGAACCAGTTCGTGTAGTTATAAATATTCACACAAATCTCATTGCCACATCAAATCAGATTCTTTGGCCACATATTGTGACACAAGGATGGTCACTGTTGTGTAGCTGCAGGGGAGAGCACATCTCCTCCACCAGTTCCTTAGACTTCTCCTGCTAATGAGGGAGACTTGCTTCCCTAAGAACCAACTCTGCAATTCTACTTGTAACGTAAAGCAACCATTCTGCCCACAAGAGCTCAATTTTACTTGGGAAAATGGAGAAAAAGATGAACATGATTTTACACAATAAAAATAAAATAAGGGGGCCGGGGCCATGGCTCACTTGGTTAATCCTCCGCTTGTGGCGCCGGCATCCCATGTGGATGCCGGGTTCTAGTCCCGCCTGCTCCTCTTCCAGTCCAGCTCTCTGCTGTGGCCTGGGAGGGCAGCGGAGGATAGCGCAGTGCTTGGGTCCCTGCACTCGCATGGGAGACCAGGAGGAAGCACCTGCCTCCTGGCTTCGGATCAGTGCAGCGCGCTGGCCCTAGTGGCCATTTCGGGGGTGAACCAATGGAGACCTTACTCTCTGTCTCTCTACTGTCTAACTTTGTCAAATAAAAAATGAATAAATAAAACAAAATCAAATGAAGCTTATAATAAAAAGAAGATTAAAAACTAGGCCCTGATAAGGAGAGAAAGGAGTCAAGCAGAATCTACCTGTAGTATAACTGGAAAACTAAAAGGCCCAGAGAGCTGAATTACCTTTAGACTAGGTATCCATTAAGATAAACTGCATTACTCAGGACACAGGGATAATTTATAATTAAAAGAGTTCATTTAGGGCCGGCGCCGCGGCTCACTAGGCTAATCCTCCGCCTTGCGGCGCCGGCACACCGGGTTCTAGTCCCGGTCGGGGCGCCGGATTCTGTCCCGGTTGCCCCTCTTCCAGGCCAGCCCTCTGCTGTGGCCAGGGAGTGCAGTGGAGGATGGCCCAGGTGCTTGGGCCCTGCACCCCATGGGAGACCAGGATAAGTACCTGGCTCCTGTCATCGGATCAGCGCAGTGTGCTGGCTGCAGCGCGCCGGCCGCGGCGGCCATTGGAGGGTGAACCAACGGCAAAGGAAGACCTTTCTCTCTGTCTCTCTCACTGTCCACTCTGCCTGTCAAAAAAAATAAAATAAAATAAAAATAAAAAGAGTTCATTTAACTTGGTAGGCTTAGCAATTTTAAATTTGTATGTGCCTAATAGCAGTTTACACAATAAGAGAAATAGACAAAGCCACACTCATAATGTGGTGTTATAAAAAATTAATTTATTTAAGAGCCAGAGAAGAAGAAAGAGCACTACCATCTCCTAGTTTACTCCCCAAATGCTAACAGTGGCTAGGACTGGGTGAGGCCAAAGCTGGAAGCCAGGAACTCAATCCAGGTCTCCAACATGATTTAATTACTATGCCCTCACTGCTGCCATCCAGGGTATGCATTAACAGAAAGCTGGAGTAGGAAACAGAGCCAAGAATCAAACCCAGATACTCTGATATGGGACAGTTAGGATGCAGGTTAAATGCCCACCACTATATAGGGTGATTTTCTTTTTCTTTTCTTTCTTTTTTTTTTTTTTTTAACACAACTGCTCACTAATTACTAGAGCAAATAGAAGAGAATGTCAAGGATATATATGATTTAAACATAGTTATTTAACTTGATCTAATAAACATGTGGAACACTGTATGTAACAGGCAAATTTGTAGAAATTGAAATCTACTGGATCTTAAAGCAAACCTCAGCAAATAGCACAAGACTGGCTCACACAATTACAGAGCCCAATAAGCCCAAGATCTGTGAGGTGAGCGGTGGTGGGGGAGACCCCAGAGAGCAGATGTTCCAGTTGGAAGCTGCCAGTTGGGAAGAGCCGATGTTTCAGATGAAGTCGAAGACCATCAGTGGCAGAACTCCCCCGTGCCTAGGAAGAGTTGCTCTTTTTGTTCTTTTCGGCCCTTCACCGGATTGGACACGGCACACCACACTAAGGAAAAACATCTGTTTTACCCAAGTTCACCGATTTAAATGTTAATCTCATACAAATCACCCCATAGAGACATTCAGATTAACGCTTGACCAACTTGACCCCACCAAGTGAGCACATAAAATGAACAGTTATTGGGTTAAAGACATAAGTAGGGGTAACAAAACTTTAACATGTAGGTGGATAGCTTTATGATCTTTGAGGACAAAAATATTTTTTAAATAAGTTACAAAAAGTGAGGCTAGCGCTATGGTGTGGAAGGTTAATGCCCTGCCTGAATGCATCCCATATGGGCGCCAGTTCGAGACCTGGCTGCTCCGCTTCCGATCCAGCTCTCTGCCATGGCCTGGGAAAGCAATAGAAGATCGCCCAAGTCCTTGGGCCCCTGCACCTGCGTGGGAGACCTGGAGGAAGCTTCTGGCTCCTGGCTTCAGATCAGCGAAGCTCTGGCCGTTGCGGCCAACTGGGGAGTGAACTGGCTCCTGGCTTCTGATCAGCACAGCTCCGGCCATTGTGGCCAATTGGGGAGTGAACCAGCAGATGGAAGACCTCTCTCTCTCCCTCTTTCTCTCTCTCTCTGCCTCTCCTCTCTGTGTAACTCTGACTTTCAAATAAATAAATATTTAAATAAAAAATAAAATAAAGTACAAAAAGTACAAACCATGAAGGAAAATACTGATACATTTGACTACACAAAAGTGAAAAAAGGCCGGCACCACGGCTCACTAGGCTAATCCTCCGCCTAGCGGCGCCAGCACACCGGGTTCTAGTCCCGGTTGGGGCGCCAGATTCTGTCCCGGTTGCCCCTCTTCCAGGCCAGCTCTCTGCTGTGGCCAGGGAGTGCAGTGGAGGATGGCCCAGGTGCTTGGGCCCTGCACCCCATGGGAGACCAGGAAAAGCACCTGGCTCCTGGCTCCTGCCATCGGATCAGCGCAGTGCGCCGGCCGCAGTGCGCCGGCCGCGGCGGCCATTGGAGGGTGAACCAACGGCAAAAGGAAGACCTTTCTCTCTCCTTTCTCTCTGTCTCTCTCTCACTGTCCACTCTGCCTGTCAAAAAAAAAAAAAAGTGAAAAAAGTAAAAACTTTTATTTATCAAATGATTCTGTATTTTAAAAAAGTGAAAAGCAAGCCAAAGAAACATTCCAGGGTTGATACCAGCATTGACTTCTGGAAAGCCCCACCTATAACATATATTAACATATATGATGCTGTTTATATTCATGTAAAGTGTTAAAACATGCAAAAATTTGCTATATGGCTATAATAAATATTTATTCAGAATAGTGTGGGAGGGTTAAAGATACACTTTGAGAGGGCTTGTCTGGAAACTTCAAAGGTTGGCCGGCGCCGTGGTTCACTAGGCTAATCCTCTGCCTGCGACGCTGGCACCCCGGGTTCTAGTCCTGGTTGGGGTGCCGGATTCTGTTCCAGTTGCTCCTCTTCCAGTCCAGCTCTCTGCTGTGGCCCGGGGAAGGCAGTGGAAGATGGCCCAAGTGCTTGGGCCCTGCACCCACGTGGGAGACCGGGAGGAAGCACCTGGTTCCTGGCTTCGGATCGGCACAGCGCGCCGGCTGTGGCTGTAGCGGCCATTTGGCGGGGGGTGAACCAACGGAAGGAAGACCTTTCTGTCTCTCTCACTGTCTAACTCTGCCTGTCAAAAAAAAAAAAAAAAGAAAAAAAAAGAAACTTCAAAGGTATCTGTAATACTTTATTTCTTAAGTCCATAGTGGGTGTGGGGTAGTGAGTGTGGGTAGATATTATCTCATTTTTTGTACTTTTGGTATTTAAAAAATAAAAAAAAAAACAATTAGGGGAAGTTAAACTGAAGATTCATAAGCTCTTGGGAGCCAATCAAAAAAATTAAAGTCATTATTATTATTATTATTATTTGACAGGCAGAGCTAGACAGTGAGAGAGAGAGAGACAGAGAGAAAGGTCTTCCCTCCGTTGGTTCACCCCCCAAATGGCCTCTAGGGACGGCGTGCTGTCCAGAGACAATGAAATAAAATTAGAGAGAGAAAGTGAAAGAGAGAGTGAAAGCAGTATCTTTCATCTGCTGGTTCAATCCCCAAATATCCCCAACTGCTAGATCTGGGCCAGGCCAAAGCTAAGAGCCTAGAAATTAATCCAAGTCTCCCATGTGGGTGGGAGAGACCCACCTACCCGGATCATCTGCTGCCTCCCAGGGTGCGTTAGGAAAGCTAGGACTGGAGCAGAGCCAAGACTTGAACTCAGGTCCACTGTGGGCTGTGGGTGTCCCAAGTGGTATCATAACCACTGTACTGAATGCCTACCCCTAATTTGTAATTTAAAATGTTAATCTATAAATACAGCATCAATATGTATAAGCAGAATTTAAGAGCTTGAATAAATGCAATGCTAATTAAATCACATGCAAGTACTTCACATTGGCCTCTAATTCTTTTAGACACTAAAAACACAGTGAAAATAATTTCTCCCGTTATACATGTGAACTATGCCTCTGTTGCCTCTAAGGCATGAGACCCATGGATGTGCTTACTGCACAACCATTAACATTAACTGAATTAAGAATTAATCTCCCAAAATGTAAGATTTATATCTTATATATTAACCCAGCTTTTGAAGTTAGACTTGCATACACATTTTATCAGTTAACAAACATAAAATGCCTATTCTGTGTCAGACACTATTTTCAGATGATATGGACAAGCTGTGAGTGAGCAAGAAACACAAAGTGCTCTTAAATCATCAGCATGATTTGTTTTAAGAGAACTTTTTTGCATCACCAAAGTATCTAATTGCTAATGTCTGACTAAGACAAAATGCTTCTTTTTAAGTAGCCCAGCTATTAGAGGTTCTAGAGGATACTATGGGTGGGGGTAAAAAAGATTTAATTTGATTTCTGTTCAGTGTTGTAATGGAATTTTTGCTTCCAGACTGTTCACACATGTCTAGTTTCCTGAATGCACCAAGGATTACAAGTTTAGAATCAAATATTTCTGACCATAAAAGTTAACTATCCAAATCTTTAGCCACATTTAAACCTGCATGAGATCTAAGCAAGGAAAAACTCACTAACAGCAATATTTATTGAGGTAGGAACATAAATTTTGAGAAGCACCCTAGATACCTTAAAATATAGCACAATATTCCCAGTTTTCTTAAATTCTTGTTATTTCTTCTACTATAGTTACTATCAGCAACAGTCTCCATTTTCAGGGTTTTGTTCTTTTTATAGTATTTAATTTCCAAAACTCTATCAAAGCTAAAATTTGGAACTATTTTAAAATTTGCAAAATCATGAGTGAATTTTTTTTAACATTGGGGAATAGAAGGAATGTCATAGGACTTGGAGGTTGACACACATAATTTGATTAATTATTATTCAGGGATGGCATGCAAAACTAAAAATCCTAGTAAAGCAACCCTTCAAATAGTTTGATATCTTCCAACAAGTAAACAAAGGCCTAGAATGAGTTTTGTAAATTTTCTTCATTGTTAAAATAGTTGTACTTATGACATACTTGTGTTGCATTTATACATTTTAATCTGTGCACTAAATGAATCACTATTTATTTTTGGCTATTTTTGTGTTATTCACACAGCATATACTTCCTGAGTGTGAATTATGTGCCAGACACCCTCATAGGCCCTGGAGTGTGCAAAAACAGAATTCCTCTCCTCCTTTAACTTCTAGTCAAGTAGGGAAGAGAGACATCAATCAAAAAATTACCAAACCAATCAATAATGTGATGATGACAAGAGCTAGGAAGGGGAGTCCATAGCACTTACTGACTTGGACATTTGATTTCATCAGAAAAGGAGGTTGGTCTAGGCTTCTTGGGTGAAGCAGCCTTTAGGATGAGGCCTGGGGTGCTTGGAGTTATTAGGTAAAGCAGGGAAGGAAGAAGATTCTTGACAGAGGGCCCTAAATGCATGGATAGACCTGAGACTGAAGGACAGTCAGATTCCAAAACACATGAGAGGAATGGGGAGACAGGTGAGGATCTGATCCTAAGACCCTTGAAGGCACAGTGAGGAGTTTGTATTTCACTTCACATGTGTGCATTTGAGAGCCCTCCCTCCTCTGCAATGTGGAGACCAGATGGGACAGGGACCAGAGTGGGAGAGCAGGGACCACTCAGGAAGCAGAGTCAGTCGTCTGAGTGGGAGACGATGGCAGGGATAGTGTCATTAGTAGAACTAGAGATATTTTGGAGTTGGAATTGACAAGACTTTGCAATGGGTTGATAATAAGAAATCTGGGTTGCATTTGTGGTCAAATGTGTTAATAATGAAATACAATTAACTGTACAATTAAAACTAACAATGAAATCAAAGTAAGTTTAATTAGTACACATAAATCTACACAGTAGAAAGCTTAATAACTTTATTAGATGACATTATGTCAGTAAAAATTACTTTGGTTTTATAGTGTAGATTGAATTCTCATCTCTTGTATCAAAAAATTTACTTTTACCACATTGGCTGCCCTTGTCCCTCTTCTCTAAATGTTTCTCACTTAAAACTAAAGTTAATCTCATTGCTTTCATTTTTTGTTAAATTTGTGTAAATTTTTACTCTTCTAAATATGAACTCCCGTTTTTATAAACTCATTTTTCAACCCAAATTTTTACTGGATTAAGTATGAAACCTACCAACTGAAGGCATTGGTATTCACTTTGACTTAAATTTATCCCGATATATATGAAACTATAGAAACTTCACAACTGGACTAGCTTTTTAAACCCAAAGAAATTGCAAATCCTTTTGCACTGTGTCCTTCATGAATATAAGGTTAACATAATGTAATCTGTTCATCTTTTCCTGTTTGAGACTGAGTCAACTTTAATGGAAATTACACATCCACTGGGGAAGAGGAAGCTAATTTAATGTGAAAGGCAGCAGCCACACAGTGCAGGGCCTCACCACGTCTATTCCCCATTCATTCTCATTAAGATTGTGTGGCAGGGCAGGCCTATTTCTCCCTTCCTTCCTTTCTTTTCCAGCCTCCCTCCTAGAAGGGGGTCTTTTCTATTTGAAAAAGGAGCCCAGCATAATTACCTGAGCATGTGCGCTATACTGGTGAGCAGTATCCACAAGAGGAGAGGGGAAAATTGGTCTGGTGGAGAATTTTCCTTCTCCAAAGGACCTATGCTTCTCTCATGAAGCACAGATGCTGCCCCTTCAGCCTCTGTTGAGTGGAAAACCAAAACAATTGATGGACTAGGATTGGGGTTGGGGAAGAGGAAGAGGTAGGTCACAAACACAGAGCGAACAAAGAAAGCAGAGACTGCCAAACACCTCTCTGATGTGGTTTCTAAGTCCTGAGAGAGGACTTGATGCAAAAAGCATACATCTGTTTAGTGCCTTTGTGTATTTGTGATCTGATTACGTAATGATAGATTTTTCTTTCTGGTGAGGAACAGTACCTTCACACCCTTCCAGATGTTATAGGCTTAACCAAGAGTTTACACCTACTATTAATGCTGTGAATTACTTCTACTTTTCCAAGGACTTAGATTTAGAATCTGACATCCCCCTTTATGGTACCTGGGCTGATAGATCTATTTTGATACCTTGTTTTATAATACCATGAATTGTTATCATTTTTACTACTAGTCATCTTAATGATTTAGTACCCTTGGGATGTTGCAACACATGGTTTGTTCTTTAGTTAAATATGATGTTTATTCCAGTCTACATCTAGTAACTCAAAGCCTGGCACCCTGATTAGTTTTTATAAAAGACACTAAATAATTCCATAGTCATTGGATGACAGCCAGCTGTACAAGTGAACCAGACAGACTGTAAAACTTTATGTACCTGTCACACTTGTAGATTTCTTGGAACAAAGCAGTCCTAGCTTTGCATTGTGCATAAGTTACCATGCCTTGCCCCACCTGATCCTATTGCCTTGGCCACAGAAAGGCTAGACCCTGGAAATTTGCAAAGCACCGCCCAGTAACAATCCTTTGTACTGAATCACAGTTAACAAGTAGGTCAGGTTCCACTTCATTGAGAGCTTACGTTCAAGATGCGCAGAGAGTGAAGAGGAAGCCGTAGAAGAAGATGTATTGTGAATAGCGGAGTCACTATACTAGGCAGAAGTCAGAGTCCACTTGGAGTCCAATCTCAAAAGCTATTGAAACCAGGAATTACCAGTGGGACTGTGGATCATCTTTGTCTTGGGACAATGGTCCAATTCTCCAGTTAGGTTGGACTGTGCTGACATATCTCTGGGTCTTTCCCAATCTCCATATTGTCTTAGTTTCTGCTGCTGTAACAAAACACAATAGATAGGGGGTAATTTATAAATAATAGAAACGTATTAAAGTTCTAGAGGCTAGATGATCTAAGATCAAGTGAGCTGGCAGACTCGGAGTCTGGTGAGGGCCTTTTGTCATATGGAATTGTCTTGCTGTGAATTCTCTTGGCAGAAGGGCAAAAAAGAGGTCCCAGAGTAGTCCTTTCAACCTCTTTTATAAGAACACTGCATGACTTAATCACTTTGCCAAAGGCCCCTCCATTTCATAATATTATCACCTTGGGTTTTAAGTTCTACCACATGAATTTTGGAGGGATACCTACATTTAATACACAGCACCTATCATCTGAGATAAAACACTGTCTTTTCATTCCAACCTGAAAAGACCTTCTTCATACAGCATGTGTATAGCCTTGGCCTATAGACTTGCAGAATTGCAGAATGATAGGACTAACAGGGACTGGAGAGGCCATACATTTGTAGCCTTAGAAATCCTATTCAGAAGAAAGTATAAATGGAAATCCAATGTATCAATAAAATCAGAACTGGTGTGGTGGCAGCAAGAGTGGGAAGATGGGAACCCTGATAGCTGAAATGCCCTTTCTCCCACATTGAGCTCACTCCTTGGAGAATATCCTGAAAACTACAATTCTAGTTGAAACTTGATATTTTATAAATAAGGAAAATCCCTACAAGTAGTGTAAGACAGCAAGAATAAGAATCCATTTACGGTTGGTGCCATGGCTCAATAGGCTAATCCTCCGCCTGTGGCGCCAGCACCCGGGGTTCTAGTCCCGGTTACTCCTCTTCCAGTCCAGCTCTCTACTGTGGCCCAGGAGTGCAGTGGAGGATGGCCCAAGTGCTTGGGCCCTGCACCAGGATGGGAGACCAGGAAGAAGCACCTGGCTCCCAGCTTCGGATCGGCGTGGTATGCCGGCCGCAGCAGCCATTGGAGGGTGAACCAACGGTAAAGGAAGACCTTTCTCCCTTTCTCCCTGTCTCTTTCTCTCGCTGTCCACTCTGCCTGTCAGAAAAGATTCTAAAACACTCTATGCCATTTACCTACTTCCTCTTATTTTTTCTTTTTTAAATTGACAAATTCAGTTGCATGTATTTATGATGTACGAAATGATGATTTGATACACATATACATAGTAGAATGGCTAAATCAGGCTAGCTAACATGCATTACATACTTTTTGTGGTTGAAACATGTAAGATTTTCAGCAGTTTTCAAGTATATGTTAACTGTGGTCATCATGTTATACAGTAGATCTCTTGAATTTATTCCTCTTGTTTAATCGAAATTTTGTATCCTTTGAGCAGCATCACTCATATCCTCCCAACCCCAGCCTCTGGTAACCACCAACCAACTCTCTACTCTTATGAGTCAATTGTTTTAGATTTCCTCGATGAGTGAGATCAGGTGGTATTTCTTTTTCTGTGCCTGGCTCATTTCACTTAGTATAATGTCCTAAGTTTCATCCATGTTGTCCCAAATGACAAGATTTTCTTCTTTTTTAAGGCTGGGTAATTATTCCACTGTGCTCTTGCCCTGCAGTGTTCTTCTGCCAATACCATTCACCCGAACCTCTTATAGTGGCTTCACCATGACAGTGGGTATGGATCTTGGATGGCATTACTGAGGATTTTTCTTCAGGTGCACATCTAGCCGAGTGTGCATGACAGCTGCATACCTTCTTTCTCAGCAGAGTCCAAATGCTTGCTGGAAAAAGTTTCATAAGAAGAGTTATTCAAGATTATGAATAGCTTCATTAAGTTGATGATGATAGACAATCCACTGAGAGAACCTTATTGCATAAACTTTTAAAATTAGTAAGTGCAGATTAAGGTTATATACTCTCCCTGAAAGAAAACTAAATAGGAGGGTTCAACTCAGTAGCCAAAGCGCAATCAGCCCTTTTCTTTACTGTTAAGAAAGCCTCCATGTGCCTTTTTGAACAACACAACCTGTGCAAGAGGGACTTCTACCAGTTCTAAACAGTCATTTTAAAGATTGGGAACAAAGTGGCCTAATTTACAAAACAGATATTTTTCCTTAAAGCTTTATTATTTAAATTTTTTTCTTTTTAGCAATTCTTATTTATTTATTTTTTGAAAGGCCAGGAGAAACAGTCACACAGATGGACAAACAGAAATCTCCCATATGCTGGTTCACTCCCCAAATTCCCACAACAGCTGGGGGTAGATCAGCCTGAAGCCAGGAGCCCAGGCTCTCACATAGGTGACATGATCCAAATACTTGGGTCATCATCCACTGTCTCCCAGGGTGGGCATTAGCAGAAGCTAGAATCAGAAGAGGCACTCCAGTAAGGGGTATGGGGGTCCTAAGTGTAGTCTTTTAACTTTTTTCCTTTTCTTTTTTGAACTTTTAATTCATTTTTAACAGGTTCAATATAGTTCGTATTCTAAGAATATAACAATATTCAATTCCTCCCTCCCTTCCCCTGCCCTCCTTCTCTTTTTCTTTCTTCCTTCCTTTCTTTCTCTCTTTCTCTCTCTCTCTCTCTTTCTTTCGTTTTTGAGATAACATATTTTAAATTTACATTACAGTGAAAAGGCTTAATGCTTTCCCAAATAAGAAGTTTGAGTAAAAAGCAAAAAGATCCTAGTTTAGTGTGAATATAGACTGACTATAAACAACAATTGAATGGAAAAATGACCATTTCACTCATTATAGTAAATGTTAAAGTAATCACAGATCATTAAAACTACAATAGTATAACATTTTTAACCTTTTTAAAAATATTTATTTATTTATTTGAAAGTCAGAGTTACACAGAGAGAAGGAGAGGCAGAGAGAGGGCTTCCATCCGTCGGCCCACTCCCCAGTTGGCTGCATCAGCCAGAGCTGTGCTGATCCAAAGCCAGGAGCTAGGAGTTTCTTCTGGGTCTCCCAAACAGGTGCAGGGGCCCAGGGATTTGGGCCATCCTCCACCGCCTTCCCAGGCCACAGAAGAGAGCTGGATCAGAAGTGGAGCAGCTGGGACTTGAAACAGGGCCCACATGGGATGCTGGCACTGCAGGTGATGGCTTTACCTGCTGCGCCACAGCACCAGCCCCCATTCTTAGCCTTTGATTTAACAAAGGTATAAGACAAAGTTTTACAAAACTATATTTGCAGCAGTACTGATATGTACAGGTATTACTTTTTTAAATTTTTTTCTTTGTTAAAAATTTTAGCTCGCACATATTAAGGAGAACTATAGTATTTGTCTGTCTGTGTCTGCCTTATTTCCCTTAACATGATGTCCTCCAGTTGCATCCGTTTTGATGCAAATGGTAGAATTTCTTTTTTATAGCTGAATAACATTTCACTGTGTATATATACCACATCTTCTTTATCCATTCATATGATGATGGACACCTTGGTTAATTCCAAATTTTGGCTATTGTGAACAGTGCTGCTATAAACATGGTGGTACAGGGATCTCTTTGATACAATGTAGTAATATCTTTTGGATATACAGCCAGTAGTGGGATTACTGGATCATGTGGCAAGTCTATGTCTTGTTTTTTAAGGAATATCCATGTTTTCCACAATGGCTGCACTAATTTACATTCCCACATCCTTGCCAGCATTTGTTATTCTCTGTCTTTCGGATTTCAGCCATTCTGACAGATGGGAGGTGATGTCTCATTGTGGTTATGCTTAGTGCTTCCCTAATGGCTAGTGATATTGGACATTTTTTCGTGTATTTGTTGCTAAGTAGCATCTTAACTTCTGTGGCAGATGCCCACCATGCTCGTAACTTTTATTTAAATTAAAATTTAGCACTAATTTAGATATTTCAAAAGCATTGCATTATTTCAAAATAAGGAGGAACATAAAAAAACATAAGCATACAATTCTCAAATATTGCAGACTTAATTATGAAAGTGATATAACATATTACTTTAATATCCAGGCATGTGAAATTTGTTAAACTCCATACAAAATAGATATAAATATAGTAAGTTTTATTAATTAGTGGGACTTCCTCCCTGTCATTTCTACAAATATTTATTTCATTTTCTGAAAAACTGTTCTCTTTAAAATATTTGATCCTAAAAATTACTAACTTGAGCAAATTGCATTGTAATAATGTTTGATTATAAGTTTGAGACTTAGAGAGTTTTATCCCTATATCCTGTAAGAAGATATCATATCATTGCATAAGAACCTAGGTTTACTCTTTTATCAAAACCTCTGTTGGCTAGAACATTAGTTCTCTGAGGACAAGAACTGTGCCTCATTCCTTCTTTTATCCCCAGAATCTAGGACACTGATAAGCAGATAAATGTCTCAAGCTCACACATGGGAAGTAGCAGAGGCCAGGACAGGGAAAGTACTGGCAGAAAAGGTTAGGGTACAGTGCTGTGGGCAAATGTAGGAAACAATGTTGGGGCCGGCGCTGTGACATAGCGGGTAAAGAGGCTGCCTGCAGTGCCAGTTTGAGACCCGCTGCTCCACTTCCCTTCCAGCTCTCTGCTATGGCCTGGGCAAGCAGTAGAAGATGGCTCAAGTGCTTGGGCTCCTGTACCCACCTGGGAAACCTGGAAGAAGTTCCTGCCTTCAGATCAGCACAGCTCTGCCATTTGTGGCCATCTAGGTAGTGAACCAGCAGATGGAAGACCTCTCTCTCTCTCTCTCTCTGCCTCTCCTTCTCTATGTGTAACTCTGACTTTCAAATAAATAAATAAAAATCTTAAAAAAAAGAAACAATGTTGAGAGTTTTAGTGTCTAAAATGTAAAAATAAAAATGGCTTTAAAAGTTAATCATAGGTAATAGTTGAAATTAGTGAGTTGTGCTTGATCACACTACAGTATGCCTTATAAATACTCAGTAAATATTTCTAAGGGAATGAATGAAAGAATGTGAAATATAACAAGATAATCAGAGCAGCCCTTCAGAACTGGACTGGAGAATCACTTGGGTTGTCTGTGTGTTTCTTTTCTTTAGTTTCTGGGTTTTTTTTTTTTTTTTTGGTGTGAGATGTAAATTTTTAAGCATATAATTTAGGAAATAAAAGTGAAGAAAATGAAGTACTGTAAAGTAGGAAAATAATTCTTTGATCATGGTTTAATGTTTTGGGTTGGGAATCAGGGCCAGGGTGGGCCTTGAGTGCTGTTAATGATTCCAATGGATTGAACCCATTGTTAGTCTCCTATGTGAAGCTTTTTTTTTTTAAGCTTTTATTTAATGAATACAATTTTCATGGGACAACTTTAGGAATTTAGTGGTTTCCCCCCATCTCATATACCCACCCTCCCTCCCCCACTCCCATCCCACCCCCTACTCCCTCTCCCATCACTTTCTTCTTTAATATTAATTTTTAATTAACTTTAAATGCAGAAGACCAACTTTTTACTAAGTAAAGATTTCAACAGTTTGCACACATACACACACAATGTAAAAAGTACTGTTTGAGGACAAGTTCTGCAGTTAATTCTCATAGTACAACTCATAAAGGACAGAGGTCCTACATGGGGAGTAGGTGCACAGTGACTTCTGTTGTTAATTTAACAATTAATACTCTTATTTATGACGTCTGTGATCACCTGAGGCTGATGCCATGAGCTGCCAAGGCTATGGAAGCCTTTTGTGACCACAATATCCATAAAACTCCATCAATATTTAGACAAGGCCATAAGCAAAGTGAAAGTTCTCTCCTCCCTTCAGAGAAAAGTACATCCTTCTTCAATGGCCCCTTCTTTCCACTGGGGTCTCATTCACAGAGATCCTTCATGTAGGATATTTTCGTGATAGTGTCTTGGCTTTCCATACCTGTATTGTTTTCATGGACTTTTAAGCCACGTCCAAATGCCTTAAGGGCTGAATCTGAGGTCAGAGTGTTACTTAAAGCGATTGTCATTCTGTGAGTCTGCTGTGTGGACTGCTTCCAATGGTGGAACTTCTTTTAATCTGACTCCCTTGGCTTCCTCTTTCTTGCCTCCATTATGCCTTCTATAGAGTTCTATCCATCACTCCTGTAATTCTTTTTTGCAAGAGAAAATAGCATTTTGATTTTTTT